CTAGTGGAAGTTTAGCACATTTTGGATTTTTGCCACAATCGTTTTGGGTCCATGCTTCATGACCATTGCCATCAAAAACTCCACCACCTTGTACTGTCAAGTGGTCGACGTAATTTATAGTGATCCATTCGGCGTTCTTGTCAGACATAGTATTATAATCTGAAGGGGCTTTAATTGTGCCCTGGACTTGAAGCTCAATGGGGGCTTTGCAGGGGCCTAGTAATTTTACTTGATCTAACATGAATGTGCCTTTTGGTACCACAATTGTGCTTGGAGTTGTAGCTGCACATGCCTCCTTCCAAGCGCACGATAAAGCCTATCATATATATTTTAGAAAATTGTGTGAAAAAAAACTAGTTGTTGCACTTGCATGAACAAGAAAATATATTTGCATGCATACCTCGGCTATATTTCCATCAGGTTTCCCACCAAAGTTTCCGATATCAAAAGTCGCAGGCGCTTGGGCATTTACAATGTATGCTAGCAGTGGGAGAAGCAACAAGGTGAATTTCGAAGCCATCTTCATCTCTTTATTATTATTTTTTGTTTTTTTTGTATATTTTTAGATCACTGTGAATTCAATTTATAATGTAAGGAGAATATTGAGTGCCACGAAATTCTCGTACTTTGCTGTGGTTAAAAATGCTTTCACTAACAAACTACCTACTTTATTGGTTTTAACATTGAATTATTCCTGTTCAAACGGTTTTATCATATAAATTAATGTTTACTTGTAACCAGAATTATTGTCTTAATTAATTACTCAATATTGAAAATTATTGTCATTAGTAATGCTAGAAATGTCAGGATGGGCGGGCCGCCCAGGCTCGCACGAAGGCGAACCGGCCCGAAATTCGACCCACGAACCGAGTGCGCCGAATCATGGGCCGTTGGGACCTAAAACCGGTCCGGGCCGGTTTAAGAAAAACTGGGCCAACGGTTAACCGCTAGCCCTTGTTTTTTTAAAAAATAATAATAATAAAAAATTAAAAAAAGCCTGCAGCCAACCCGAACGGTCATAGGTCTTATCCTGTGACCTTTTTTTGAAATTTTATTTTATTTTATTTTATTTTTTCGAAAATGGCAATGTATAGTAACGGTAATTTTTTTAATAAATTGTGGTATTGTGAAGTGAAAAAAAAAGCAAACTCTCACAATCTAAAACTACAAGTTTAAAATCTCTATTTTCTCATAATCTCTCACTCTCTTAATATTTTCAACAAGTATTTTTCATATTTAGTATTTAATGCTTTCTTTTCATTTTATTATTTCAAATTTTTTTGTTAAAGTATTATGAATTCTCACGATTTTTCATTAAGAAATGTCAATTTACATGATAGTTGCTCTTCAATAAATTTGGAAGATGATAATGATCCAAATATTGGATCTTCTCAACAGCGAAAAAATAAAAAGCACACATCTGATGTTTGGAAAATCTTTACAGTGGATGAACCAAACAAAAAAGCAATATGCACTATTTGCAGAAAGAGTTATGCATGGGTTAAAGGTCAATACACATGCACATTTGTGAAGACACAAAGATAAACACATGAATGAAAGAGGACATTTGGATACTAAACAAGCTCAAATTACTTTTTTTACTAATACTAGTGGAACAGTTACTTTTTCTAATTTTTGTTATTCGCAGGATCGAATGAGAGTAGGAATGTCTAAATTTTTGGCAGCAAACGAGATACCTTTCACTTTCGCAGAAGATCGATACTTTGAGGAGTTTATGCAAAAGAGCAATATGCACTATT